CAGAGCATGCTCATTGATTGATTTCGTCTCCTGTCATGGTGGCAAACATCGCAGTGGGGAGGGAGGGTGAGAACAGTCACGGTGCTCCTTCTGCTTGGTTACTTCTTGCTTGTTGCGCCTTAGACAGTGTTCATAGTTGAGCGTTGTTTATAATTAATTGCTATGTTTAATGGTGCAGATAGTTGTGGTTTCTGACATTGGCAAAATGGGCAACCGCCCAGGGCGTTATTTTTTTTTAGGGATGGCAGGAGACCTCTGCGGATTGTGGCACAGAGATGAGAGCAAAACAGAATGAAGAAGAGTTTGAATTGATACTGGTTAAATTTATTTCAGCTCTAAGTATTTAATAGCTAGATGTTTCTATGAGAATGTGGATTTTTCAGATCAATTTGAGAAGCAATTTTGATAGGTAAACTTAATTTTTTTTTCTCACATAGCGCGGGGCCCTGGTCTTGGTCTTGATTTGGTCTCGGGTTCGGTGGTCTAGACTACAACTCTGCTACATGGCTCCTTGGTTCCATGTCCTCCCCTGCCCACCCTTTCAGTTGGATTTCTTTCAAAATAAATGCCACTAGTGGCAACAGTTCATGCTATTTTAGGACAGGAGACAAGATGTTTCCATCCCTGAAATTATGATGCATAGAATCACATATCTAAGTCTAAACTATGTTACAGAGAGAAAACACAATAAAAACATGCTTTATCTGTGGTATTGCTCATTAAAATGGCACATTTTTAATGTATTAAAATTAAATACGATCGGTTCACTTAATGATATTAGCTAGGTATTATCCAGCAAGTACTTTTACTTTTAATACTTAAGTATTTTTAAAAGCCAGTACTTTTTTTACTTTTAAGTAAAATGTTAATGTGGTAGTTTTACTTTTACTTGAGTACATTTTTGTCTGTGTATTTGTACTTTTACTTAAGTACATTTTTTGAGTATTTTCTCCACCACTGAAGTCCAGAGTTTCACTATAAACTTCAAAAAGTCTAATTTCTTCCCATTTATTCCAAAATTATTAGTTTACAATTATGTGTTAAGATTTCAGGTTCCAGAATTCTGCACAAGCAAAAAATTACTTCTCTAAACTAAGAGATTAACACCTAGTCCTGTTGTACTGATAATCTGTCAGAGTTGGTGTCTACGTCGCCTTTTTTTGGTTAACTGAACTGTGATGGCCAAATCCATGGCCACACTCTGAAGGCAGAAGTCGGTAACTCTTTTATGCACAATTTAGTTAACATGTGTATTTATATGAACTTTAAAGTTTAATTTGTTTGCGACTAACTTTGTTTTTTGCCGGTACTTACTGCCTTGGAGTGGCCAGACAAAAGATGGGGACCAGGGCTCAGTAGGCTTAAATGCTGATTGGACTGCACCACTAGTTCCTGCTGGCAGGGGAAATTTGTAGTTTCTTTATTTAGATAAGTTTTGTATTTAAGTAAATATTAGTATTTAAATTTAATATTTTTGATTTTCATTTTTTTGGGTTTTTAGTTTAGCCAAACTTAGCTGTACTGTTATTTGTTTTTGTGTTTGTAATTGTATTCTGTTTAGTTATCCCTATTGTGTCTTAATTGGTCTGATCAGCCATTATATAAACCCCTGTGTGTCGTTTCTTTGTTAGGTCAGTTATGTTTGTGCAGCCAGTTTGTTTACATTTTTGCCTGAGTTCAGTTTTGTTTCTTTGACCTCTTTTATGAGCTCAGTTTATCTGTTTGTCATTTATAATCTTTGGGTTAAAATAAAAAACCCTATTTTTCTAATTAATAACCTGTGACTCCTCCTGTTTTCAACTCGGTCCATCACATGAACTAAAAGGTCGACATAGTCAAGCTAGCATAACTGATATACTTACCTTTCACTCACTACTTTTTTGTAATTAAAACTTCTTCCTGACGTTATCTAGCTGTCACAGTGTGGACAGTTACTAGCAAAGCACTGCATCCCTTTTTCTTTTATATGTTAGACATACACTAGCCAAACTTAAGATTCAGTACTTCATGTTGACAACCTGACGCCGTTATGCTCCTAACAGAAAGCATTGGAAAACAGAAGCTGCTAGCTTCCTCACCTGAAGACGATGTCATAGTAAAAGTCGCTACTGGCTCGGATGCAGGCGACGGTTCCCTGCGGTGCAAACCTCGACTTGATGAAAGCCCGCGGGTGGAACATGCTCAGCAGGGAGTGGATCAGAACCTGCAGCAGAACCAGAACGTCGGATAAGAACAAAACCCAAACTAACTCAAACAGACTGATCTGGAGCGCTGGATCACCTCTTTGCCCTTTGGAGTGGGAGGGTGGTACCGATTGTTGGGCAGGTAGCCAGTGAAGATGTTGAGTTCGCTGGAAATCACCCACCATGCGTCTCCCGGCTCTGTTTTGCCCTTTGGGGGCAGAAACACCCGGAAGTGCCCGGCAGGGAACGAGGAGGAGGGAATGGCGGGGTGCGTCCAGGAGCGGAGGCCACTCAGTGAGCTGTGAGAAACCTGCACAATAACGATACCGGTTCGTACATTTCAGCACCTTCTGGATGTTTTTATTGAATTTTGGTGGGGGGTTTACCCCGAGAAAGCCGTCGCGGCTTTTTGTCATGGAGTCCAGCAGCAGAGGCTTCATGCTGGCCTCCAGAACCAGAGTCTCTCCGTTTGGGTCGTCGATCACATCTTCTTCCAAATCCACCGGCGCTGTGATCCCTGCAAGGAAAACACAGTTACAGCTTCTTGGAGAAGTACTTACATCCCCTAAACTCAATACAACCACAAACCTGAAGGTGTTTTATTGAGATTTTATGTGAAATGTCTGATTTGATTTGACTGACAAAAACAATAATTAGACTTGATCTATTATGCAAAATTTGCATTGTACAGATTTTTGTATTTTCATTTGGGCCTCTTCTGAAAACAGCCAAAGTATTTTAAAAAACAAACAGCCGTTTTTGGCAATAAATTAATGTTTTTTGGCAACATGATCATTCTAGCAAACTCTGGATTCAATAAGTATTTCTTGAAATTAACTAAATTAACATCTTTTCACATTGATGTAATTTGGCAGTGTACAAATAAAAACTGTTTCGATTTGACTGATAAAAAATAATATCCAAAGGGGACGTATTATGCAAAATTTACGTTTTCATACTTTCATCTGGGTTTCTACATCTGATAAAAATCCAACCATCAATTTTTTGGCAATAATTTAATGCTCTTTGGGGTTTAGAAAACAAGCCGTTTCAAAAACATCCTGATTGTTAAGTCACATTCCACTGCACCGTTGCCTAGCAACGCCAGCCAAGTCCAGCCCTGTTACCTAGCAACCCAAGAAGAACTCCAGCAAGTTTTTGGTCGGTTGGTTTTACATGAAAGCATAATAGGTCACTTTTAAGGTCACAAATCACAGGGAACGGGTTGAATATTGTAGATAAACAGAAAGACTAAAGACTGGTTAAGAAATGAAAACAGACAGGTGAAAAGATTGACCTGTAAGCTTCTCTGCGATGGGTCTGAACTCCTCAGGACTCAGATAGAGGTCATGGTCTGTGTCCAGGGAGGAGAAGAGGAACAGGCCTTCGACACCCAGAGTCTGAACCGCCTCTTCCTGAGGAGCAACACGGATATTTATTTACATAAAAACAATTTAAAGATCACTAATCCTGAGCCAAAAACTGGGACACCAAGTCATGACATCAGCTGAACTGAAATACTCCAGGGCACAAATAGTCACATGCTTAGATCATGAGTGTAGGCACAAAAACCATTTATTTACAAAAATTCAGCAATTCTATGGAGGAAGAATAGAGCCACTGAAAAAACAAGAGAATTCAGATTTTTATACAGATGGGCATCTGGGAGCAATCAGCTAATGAAAGAGACAGGAGAACAGCAAACTTTCAGGAGGAACGCATCAAATATCAGGGATTTTCTCACTTGGCTGAGGATGATAGAAACCTGAGATTATCATCATAATTCTGAGAAAAAAGTCAGATTACAGAGAAAATAAGTCAGAAATTCAAGCTCAAAATCTGAATTAGGAAAAAATGTCACAATTCATAGATTATAATCAGAACTCTAATGTTAGTCTTAATCCGGATTTCCCCCCCAAAATTTCTAAAATTAAAATCACATTTCTGATAAATTCTAAAGAGTCAGAATTCCAAGAAAAGTCAAATTCATTTTTTTATTTTTTCCTCAGAATTCTGAGAAAATCAGAAATCTGAAGAAAAAAGTCTGGGTACTGAGAAAAAAAAGTCTCAATATGGGAAAAAAATAAATTTAGAAAAAAGCTTAAGAATTTGGAGAAAAAAGTCAGAATACAAAAAAAAGGTCAGAATTCCAAGGTTAATTCTGATCTTTAATTTTTCCACTGAATTCTGAGATTCTATTATTTTCTTCACAGAATTCCAATATTAAGATCAGAAACTTTGGGGAATAAAGTTATAATTCCCAGTTTAAAGTCAGAAATCTGCAGCGTTCGTTGTGCTGGATGGAGCCTGAGGAAGCATTATCTCCAGTCTGACCAGCCTTTCTGAAGGAGATGCGTGTCTGCCAGCAGCTCTACAATGGAGGGAGGCTGAGGAGGGGGTGCAACAACAACTTGGAGCCAAACTGCTGTGGACTTCAGGATTAGTGATGTTTTAGCAGCTGGCAGACAGACAGACCTACCCACCCAATTAAACCACAGCGGGGCCAGAAAACTGCTGAGGGGACTTTTAGGGGCGACATGTCAGAAAAACAGCGAGAAAAAATAACAAAAATCACATTTTTATGATTAATCCCAGGTTATTAAACGCAACTATGATTAATCCATAGTTGCGTTTAAACGCAACTGAGATGTAAATCCCTGAAGTGGATCTTACATGACGCCTGAGTAGCTGGGAGCTCTGGTAGTATTTTATCCCAAAACCAGCCAGAGGAACCGTGCAGACCGCCAGCAGGGTCCACATCCCTCCCCGGAACCAGGCTCCATATCCCGGACTCCTCTGCCCACTGTGCCCGGTGCTGCGCGCTCTCTCCGGGCTGCTTTTATCCACGTCTGCGGCCATGCTCGACCCCGCTTCAGGAGCTCATTGTAGCCTAATTAGCTGCTAAACCTGCTGCAGGCAGGGCTTCAAATAATACAAAGAAAACAACCGAAGAAGAAGAAGGGTTCGTCGGGAGAAGCGACTCGTTTCCAGCTGTTATTTCTCCTCCTGTCTGCACAGATTTCAGTTTCCACATCCAGACTGGAACCATATGGATGCGGTTACACGAATAAAGTTACTATCGCTGATCAACACGATAAAAGCCGGATGCTATGCAAACGGGGATACAAAATAAAAGCCCCGATGATCGAAAGACCATTGTGGGTACACTGAAAAAAAGAGAATGTACTCCTTTTTCTATCTACAAAAGCCCCTATGTGCCGTCATAGGTGGCTTCTTTTAGTTTTTGACAGTTTAAATTATTTTATAGGATCGCTTTTACATGAGCCATAAAATAAATAAACACACTGTGAAAAAATTAAACATATTTTTAACTAAAGTTTTCTTTAAATACTTTTATTTAAATTCATTATCTAAATATTTATTTTTAATTATTTCATGGGACATTTAATTGATGATTTCCTGGTGTTTTTATTTATTAAATAATTTAATTGAATAATTTAATATGTTTAATTATGTATTGGTACATTTAATTAAGTTTTTGACAATTTTATACATTTAATTTGCTAATGGTGTATTTATATAATTTTGCCACCCCTAGCACTCCATACTATCAATCAACTACGACTCAATATGCCTTCTTGCTGTATTTTTCTCATTGCAAATAAGCTTCTTGCCATTATTTGCACTTCTTATTGTTTGCAAAGAGATTGTTTTTAACTTTGCATATTTAAATCCATGTATGACTGATCCATATTTTTTTCTCTAAATTAACCTACATTAATATCAACTTTATTTGCATTTAATTCTATTTTTTTTTTGTTTTGTTTTTTTGAAAAGGCAGCTGGGTATTAATTTTCTTATGTTGTAAATTTGTCATTACTGATTAGTTTCTTATTCTTTTTATTTCTTATTGAACACGAATTGCCCCACTGAGTTACGATAAAAACGTTGAGGCAAGCTGATCGCGTATTTATTTTGAAAATAAACCGGAAGTTTTCGCCGTACAACTCGTAAATATGTGCACCTTGACGTGCTGGCTCGGGACTCCCATTTAAAGGGGCAGGGTCCCCTTGACCGTCCAAAGAATGTATCCTTAACAAGAGTCATTTACACGTTTTTGTGCCAGAAAGAAAACTGCTGTTATTTTTCAACCCAAATCAACAGAGGCCGACATTTGCTATTCCATCAGAACTGGAGAAATTAACTCTCCTGAAAATAATAAAACCAGAGTAAACAACTACATTTTGCTTACATAAATTCAAAATACAATACATTGATGTTTATAGGGGCAATGTGAAAAATATTAAGATTATGAATTTATTAGGTACTGCAATTCTGCATTTGAACTGAAATTTTAAAATAAATTTTTAAAATAAGGAATTAATTTGTTTAAAATTCTGTAATTTTACCAATTAAGTTAGCATAGGCACCAAGGACATTGGAAAAATAAACATGTTTATCCAATGTCTGCTGTTAACACTTGTCTTTTCCAGCAGCCATTGTACAGCGGATACAGGGTAAAACCACCTGACCAAATGCTGGAACTCAGTCGAGGTTGCTGGGTAACAGAGCTAGGCTATGCTAGAGGTTGCTAGGCAACGGGCTATGCCTGTTAATTTGTTACATTGCATTTCTAGACACTAGAAAACATGAAATTATTGCCAGAAATCAGCCTGGTGTTTTTTAAAGCACTTTTGATGTTTCTATAAGCAGTAGAGAAAAATGGAAGAAATGTGCAAAATGTGAATTTTGGAGAAAATATCCCATTTAAATATCAGTCTTACCAAATCAGTTTTTTATTTGTATACTGCAAAATTACATCAACTCGAAAGTACATTAATAATTACCTTTAAGAATTCATTGATTTCAGAGAAAACAAGAATTTTAACATTTTAACATGTTAAAATTTTAGTTTATTGTTCCATGTTTACGTGGATATAGATGGCAGAAAGTTACAATCTGTCATAAAAATCACGGCTTTGTGATGATAATAAATAACAGAAGGTTTCTGTTAAAGAGAGTCCGTCCATTAAGCAGCATTCAGTCCATGTTTTCCTCCACAGGTTGCGTTTTCACTTCTACGATTTTCGGGGCGATGTAGGATCCCATCCCTGCGGCACGCTCTGCCTCCGCCTGCGTGTACGGCTCCTCCCTCAGTTGCTTCAACCTGCAGACACACACAGGTGAGCCGCCACACTCCTGCAGGTACAAACGTCTCTCCCCAGAATGATGCTGCCACCTACCGCTTCTTATGCACTTTGGTTTTGAAATGCTCCTTCAAGGACCGCATGTCAACAAAGTATCGCCTGCAGGAGAAGAAGTCAACAAACACATAGCAGAAGAGTCAGGCGGTCATTAATTATCTGTGACTTTATTTTGACTTTGCTTTGTGATGTTAATGAATAAATGTGTCAATAAATGCAACACAAGTTTCTACAAATATTTCTAGAGTCAGCAAGGTTTCAAGATCAAACCTGGAAAACCCAGAAAGGAAGGAAAGAAAGTAAACACGAAGGAACAAAGGAAAGAAGAAAGAAAGGAAAATCAGACCTGTTAGCTAACATTTACTAACAAACTCCATTTCTACGTGTATAGAGGAAACACTCACGCGCAGTGTAAGCAGTAGTGTTGTGCGCATCCCGTTACGTCATAGTCCACGTCCTGACGCAGCAGCTTGGCCGCGGTTTCTGGCTTCATATCCGAGTGGATCTGGTCCAAATCTTTGGTCCGGCGCTTCGTCTTCCACTTCTTAGCGATGTTCTTCTTCTTGTCGCCCTTATGGTTTCCGGTCTGTTTGGACTTCCCCATGTTGGACCGAGCAGGACTGGAAAATACGACATCTTTACAACAGCTGGATAGCAGGGACTCTGACGTCACATTCAAACAAAAATGCGTTTAAAGGACTACAAATGAGCTTAATGTCAGATTTAACCGTTCAGAACTATCCGCTTCGCTCCAAACATCACAAACAAACCAGAAGATAATCAATAAGTACAAATAGAACCCAATTTTATCTACAAACCCCGAAATAGACCGACTTTCAGACTTTGCTTACCTTCTGCACGTGCAACCGAGGGGAGATAGAATGTATTTCCGGGTTATCGCGGCAGTTAATTTGTTCTCCTCCAGGGGGCGCCAAACATCTATAGTTAAAGTGAGGAGAGAAATAAGGAGCTAAATTGGGGCCATAAAGTTTGAAAGAAAAAAAAATGAAATTACAAAAGATTTCAAACTGAAAAAAGGTTTGAAACTTTTACTATTACTTAAATAACTTCTTGGATGGTTATTTCTTACCTTTTCTTGAGTAAAAATATGTTCAAGTTGTGATACCTTTTACTTTTACATGTAATTTTTAAGTCCTCTGCCTATGTCTGTTCATTAAATATAGATGTATTGTTATATATCAAGCTTTTATTTCATGCAAATTTGAGACACAGAAATTAAGGTTTTCATCATCTGTAAGCCGTAATAATCAAGTAAGAAAGTATGGCATGAAACAGTTCACTACTTGTGTAATCATATGGAGTTCCATCAGGGCCAAAAATATATTTCTGTCAGTCTGTTGAAAAAAATTCTTGGTGGGTTTGATGTGCCAGTATATTTCCCTTCCTAGCCTAGTTCGAGGACTCAAAGGAATAGTAGTGAAAGGACTTGGGGATAGTTCCACAACCACATGACATTTTTCATGCAGCAAAATAACGTGATGGGTTAAATTAGATAAAAGTAAAATGTTCATTCAGCAACTTCCAAAATACACAGGTTTTAATTTTTGAATCACTGTTAACATTTAGCACTGAATCAGACTCCAATGATAATAAGCTATTTAGCTTCACTTCTGGGGCACAATTAAAGTCACACATGAATAAGTTTGTTCACACAATGAGTAATTGGTCCCCCAACTACTTCCTGTTGTCTTCTTCTTCAAGGTTTATGCCAGTGGAAACATTTTGTTGTTGATCATGTGACTGATGTGATGCATAAAACATGTTTCCATTGCAGTTTTGAAAAATAAACCAAAAAACCACCTCATTCTAGTTTCAAAATTTTTATTAACAAATGAGAGTTTTTTTTTCTAAATTGGCATGTCTCCATTAAACAAAATTATTTTTAAAATGTCAAATTGCACAAACATATGGTCAATGGAAATGCAGCTTACGTAAGTTCAGTATGCCTACGTAATGCTAGGCGTCTAAGTGCATATAAGCAGGCATGTGAGAATATTTTTGGCACTAATGGAATCCCAATTTTGGAATATAAATATAACACTGTCACCTTCCTAAAATAACGGCATAAGTAAAGTGATTTTGGCAAAAACAAATCACAACTATTTTATGCAAAAAGTTGATTTAGGTTAAAACATTTTTTTTTAACCACAACTGATTTTGGCATTATTTTAGGAAGGTGACAATATGAGTTTCACTTTTTGAAATGAGGGAATCTCTGTCTACCATGTCTACAATGATTTAATTTTATTACAGTACATCTTTTGTTATACATGAAATGGCATTTGTACAGAATATTGTGCTTAAGGACAAGTTTTCTGTCTTTGGATGGTTTTTCTATAGGTGAAGTTCCTCTGATGTGTTTAAAAATTGAGAGGAGAGATTTTTAATATATTTTTTTAAATTGGCATGCTTTCTTTAAGCAAAGTTATTTTCAAAATGTCAAATTGCACAAATATGTAGTCAACAGAAAACACAGCTTATGTAAGGTGTGCATGTATGTATATGTAATGTAAGGTGGGTAAGTGCATTTGTAACGCAAATGTGTAAACATATTTTTGGCACTAATGGAATCTCATATTTGGATTGTATATTGTCACCTTCCTAAAGTAACGGCTTAAGTAAAGTGATTTTGGAAAAAAAAAGAAAGAAAGAAAAAAATACAACCTCTTTCATGGCAAAAGATGATTTAGGTTTTTATAAAACTTTTGACAAAAAAAATGACATTAGCAATTATTTTAGGAAGGTGAAGGTATGAGTTTCACTTTCTGAAATGAGGGAATTTCCGTTCAATCTGCGTAATTTAATTACAGTACTTTTTTATTATAAATGAAACGGTGTTTGTACAGAAAGTTCTGCTCACATTTAAATTTCTAGTGTTTTTGGTTGGTTTTCCTACAGGTGAAATTCCTCTGACGTGTTTAAAATTTCGGACGGCCCCTGAAGGCAGCACCAGGCTGCACTGCATACGCGCCGTGGCGGAGAGCGAAGATGGCGGAGAATAATGTCGAAGCGGAGCACGATTGGAACGACTGGGCCCTGGATGCGGCCGAGGATACTGTCATCGCGATGGAAACCCTGCTGGCCACGCTCAGAGCTTTCGAAGACGTTCTCAGACAGCAAGAAATCTCCGTGGCATCTTCCACGGAGTACTGCGACAACTTCTGTCAGGTAATGTGTATATCGTAGCTATCATTAGCTTCACGTTAGCTCCGCTAGGAGTGTGTGGGTCTTTTTTCATAGAAAACATGAAGAGCTGCTGCTGCTCTTCTCCTAGCCGTTATTTAGAAAACAGCTGCGTATTTACTATTATTCCTCAGTGCGTTCAGTTGAATATATCACATCCCTGCTGGAGGGAAAATTCACAATATTTGCAATATGTTTTATGTTTTGTTTGCTGGTTCCGCTTATTATGTTAAATTAGTTTTAGCTGTACCGTTACCTCAGTTGGCTTGTTTTTGTTTGGAAAATAAATATGAAAATGCAGGATTGGCTCATGACATCGCTCCAGTTTGCACATGATGCCTTGCTGCATGCATGTGGGGCGGGGCAGCATCGCGGTGTGTTTACCCCAAAATGTCAAAGGTTCTGCACCTTACTGATAACTTAATCTGTTTTTGATTTCCAGACTGGTCACCACCCGGCTTGGTTGGTGACCGGACTCTCTGCCATGTTGTTTCTGAATGATAATGACCATAAATCACCATGCAAACACTGGGATACACAATGTGTAATTGTAACCACGACCTTTTGTTTTATTTCAAAAACGTTTTGAAAAGCGGTGCACCAATTGCAGTTTTCAGGCCGATCAACAATCTTGGAAAATCCTTTAAAAGTTGCTAAATGTAGCAACAAAGTTGCTAAGTTGGCAGTAGTGGGATGACCATTGTTAACTGCACACACATCTCTCACAGGAGAGCAAGAGAGGACAGTGGCTTTTTTTTAACTATTTAAAAATATAAAATGAAAAGCAAAAGTCATGTTGAGAGAGTTAAGGCTCTACTAAATACTGGTGATTCATAAGGAATGCCAAAAATTAGGGAAGTTCAAAATATCGGCATTAACATCTGTATCGGCAAATCATTGTTAACATATCAGGTTAAATATCAGCTATTGCAGCAATATTAATGTTGAATATTGGAGCATTTCTACCAAAAATGACATTATTGCATCTTAGAAATATTGTAAAAAATATTAATTGCAAGATGTGAAATACATTCTTGACATTCTTCCAGGATTTTTATGTGTAAGATAAATTAACAGATAAAGTAAGTAAAGTAATATATTTTAATCAATTTTCCTAAAAAATACTTATTAAAGGGAATTAATTAGTGTTTTATACTAAAGCATAGTTCTGCTTTAGTTGTTTAAAAGAATACAAATTAAAGGTACATTTAGTAAATAAATCCCAGTCCAAGTCCCAGGTGAGTTTTTCTGTGTTCTGGGAATAAAACAGGTAAAGAACGTTTTAACCTCTGGTGTGTATCAGAGTGGACTGAACATGAGAACAATTATTTTAATCATTGTACTCTATATTTGTTGTGTTGTGTTGGTTAAGGCTTCAACTAACAGATTAATCAGTTAAAAATTTGTTACATTCTGCAGATTTTTCATTTAACCACTTTACCCTTTTTATATAATATTAGAAATGCATTAAAAGACTCAAATAAATACTTTCAATTTCTTTTCTAAATAAGAAAATATGCATTATATTGCCTACTATACAATAAGTTTGATCATTTGTAGCAAGAGATGCATCTGCAGCTAAAATATATATTAAAATAAAAAATCTCTTTCTGTTTAACTTAAAATCAATACAGTGTAGAGCTGATCTGTTGATTATTTGGATTAATTGATTAATAATTTGATAGCAAAATGTGATTAATGGATTGTTTTTACAGAATTTTAACCAGGTGAAGTGAATTGAACATATTTACAAAAAAGGTTTATTTTTTTATCTTAAATGCAGAATATACTTATTTTTTATTTATTTATTTATTTTTTACAATTTTCTCTTTATTTCTGCTCTCTTAGGTTGTTTTTCTTTCTTTAGCAAATTGACTTTTTGACTCCGTTTACTCCAATTAACAATTAATCGATGACTAAATTAGTTGACAAGTATTTGATTAATCATGATTAATCGTTTCAGCCTTTCTCTTGATTGATTAAAATGTGTCTGTTGTTAATTCCTATAGCAATAGACCATTTAATTGTTTTCTTTTTGACATTTTGCTTAAACTGCTATAACTTTCCCTTTAGTTGGTAGAGAGACAAACAGTTAGGTGTGACACTGAGTTTAAGTCGGAAGTAGTTCAGAGTTAATTAGTCTGCTGATGCAGGTCTCTGGGGCTGGGACTTTATTCCTGGCTGCTGTATATTTAGACAGGGGGGAATTAATTCGGCAAAAAGTTTCTCCTGTCTGATAATTGCGACTCCTGAGATGTTCGTTGTGTCTGCACGCAGGTGAAACCAGGTGAAAATGTTGGACCCTCCCGTCTGGTTTATTGTTTCTGAACAAACAACAAAAAGCTGCTAAGCATGAAAAATATTAGATTACTTTTCAGTTTGGTGTCATGTACTTTTTTCTGTTTTTTAATTTTTACAAGCAGCTTTTTGCTGTTATTCCTGGTTTTGTGGTGCAGATTTAGGTGTGTCAATTCCCCTCAGGCCCAATCAAAAAGCAACCTTCAGTCTGTCAACTGGGATCAAACAGGTGCAGACTGGTTTTTCCCCATGGAGGAAAACCCCCAGTATTCCAGACAGAAGGTGTGTTTGTCCATTTCAGATGGGGGGGAAAAGAGGAGTATGTTTACTTTTTAAAAAACCTGTAATTTGGAGATTAATCTGAGATCTTTATGAGAAAAAAAACATGAAAGTTTTGAGCTTTAAATCAACCTAAATTTGCTTGGATAACTCTCAGAAATTTTGAGATTTATTGAAGACATTTTATTGAAAAAAAAAAAAAAACATAAAAAGTTCTGACTTTGAAAAGTTTAAAATTGCTTGGGAAAAAAAATCCTCAAATTTTGAAATTTATCTAAAGTTTTCTAGAAAAAAATGGGAAAATTTTAGAGTTTGAAAAGGCAAAAATTTGCTAGAAAAACTCAGTTTGAGATGAATCTCAGAAGTCGTCGAGAAATAACAAGGACATTTCTGAATTTAAAAATTTACCAGAAGAAAACAAGAACATTTTTAAATTAGTCTCAGAAATTTCCAAGAATAAACAAGAATATTTCTGAGTCTTAAAAGTTGAAAATTTGCTTGAAAAATCCCAGAAATATTTAGATTAATTTAAAAAATTTTCAAGAAAAAAGTGTGAATTTCTGAGTTGGAAAATAAATTTCTGTCAGAAATGTCCTCGTCCTTTCTTTTTCAGTCCATCTAGAATGGCCTAACGCGCCGGCGTACCAGGCAGGTTTAATCGAAACGCTTCCTGACTGTGTTCTGCTGTCCGTTTGCAGGCGCTGATGCACTATGCTGGGAGCAGGAACTCCATCGAGCATGGTCTGCCTCTGCTGGAGGTCTACTGCCTGTCCATCAACTGCTTCGCCGCGGCCAGATCCCACCTGACCGCAGAGTCCGACAGAGTGGGGCTCGTTTTGAAGAGGCTCGCTCTGTAAGTAACGAAAATAATCCTCAAACATTTTAGACCAGAATCAGTCACGCTTCTTCTTTAGCAGAGATCGCACTGCAAAAACACAGTATTTTTTATCTAGTTTTCTAATACATATCAGTTTCGTAGTAAGCTACAGTAGTTTTTCAGTAAGATATGAGTTTGTTTTAAGTCAATAATTGCTTCATCTTGATTTTTAAAACCTTCAGATTTTTTTTCAGGTAATACATTTTTTCAGTGTTAAGTGTAAATGGATCTTTTTTAAAATCAAAATGACAGAATTAACTTAAAACAAGCTCCGACATCTTGCTGAAAAGTTAGTTGCTGAAAATGGTTGCATGTTAGTTTTGTCTTAATTCATATGTACTAAGATATTTCCATAGAAACTAGACGAAAAATACTTGATGAGATTTTGTTTATGCAGTCCAAACGATTCTGTAATACCGTCCTCATGAAAAATTTGCACAACTTTTTTCTTTGCTCTGCAATCTTTGAATATTTGTTTGAATTATTTTTTAAATGTACCACTTATTAGTAGTTTAATGGCGTTCTGTATCTGCAACCTCTCTTAAGCATTCAGTTAAAATATAAAGCAAGTGTTTTAGATGCTATCAGAAATAGAAATATGTTCTTGCCATGCAGAATGTTCATGTTTGCACTTTAAATCTTGTATTTGTGAAGATATTTTGTCCCAGCAGGCCCTTTTGGTTGCGATGGATTGATAGCAAGATGACGATAGTAATTTAAAAAACGCTGCAGCTCTGGTCTTTGCTAAAGCGGGTTTTCGGTTTGTCCCCTTCAGGCTTCGGTCACGAGAAAATTTTATTAAAATGTATTTGCAAATCATATTTTCATATAATTCTGCAAAATCCTCTCCTAAATATTCTACATTTAATCTAACACTGTGCAGACAAAAAACAAAAACAAAGCTGTGTTTGTTAAATAAATCTATCAGCTGTGATGAGGAAAATGGTGCCTGAAAAGAGGTAAAAATAGATCATTAGCATCTGGTTGGATACATTTTTTATCTTTGTTTCTTTTCTTTGTCTCTGTCACGAGGCGGAAAATACAGGAACTGTGACTAGATGTTCTAGATCAGATCTGCGTCTCCCTTCAGTGTCAGAAATAAAGAAAAGAGACATTTTTTTAATTGAAACTCTGCATAAACACAAAATCTTAGAGTATTTTTGATCTTGTTTCTAGTGCAAATATCTTGGTACACTTGAAATAAGAAAAAAAATATAAGTAACTTTTAAGCAAAATATAGGAGCTTGTTTTAAGTAAATAGTTTCTTAATATTGACAGAAACATACTTGTTCCATTGGCAGATTATTTTACTTATGTGAAAAATGTCTTTATTTTAAGTGAAATGATCTGACGGTGAAACTGAAACTAGAACTTTTTCATCCACATTAAGGAATTATTGACCTGAAACAAACTCCTATAGTTTTGTCCTATTTCAAGTGTAACTAAGACATTTGCACTAGAAACTAGACTAAAAAAGTTTTTGTATTTTTGCAGTGAATGTTATTTTTTTTAAACATTAATGAATTCAACTGGGTTCATATCCAATTTAATGGCAGGTGAAATGCTTCAATCTTTCCCTATATGTGGAGTTGATTATTCTCACTGAAAAATAACCAATAAAATGATTTTTTAAATCATTATTAGCGACTACCTCTGAAATAATTTCTGCGTACATTGTATTTCTGTTCTTACTGTAAAAACAAGCCCTGTAAGTGAAATCCAGACGGTTTTAGAGATGATTGACGGCCATCTTGTTTTCATCTCATGCAGGAGCTGCTTTGAACTATTGCTGTCGGTGCCTGACAATGAAATCCCATATGAAGCCTGGCTTCAGTTCCACCACTCTGTCCAGGTAGGAACCTTCAGAGCTCTGCTTGTTGATGGATTACAGATGGAAATCATTTTGTGGAGGTTTCCACCCAACCAGTTCCAGTGTTGAACTGGTGTTGGTGCTTTATGCTTCCTACACTGCTGGAGATTGGTCCTGGAAACCAGCGACCAATCAAAATGTCCAGGCTGCCAAGATTTGTTTTGATTTTGATTGGAATCTGAAATTCTGGCTGGAGGTTTTTTGCATGGAGTTTGCATGTTGTCCCTGTGTGAACTCCATGCTCAGGCTACAGTCAATCATATTGGGTTTAGGGCTGAAACCATTAATTGTGATTAATCGACTGTGTAAATAATTGTTACCTAATTTACTAATCGATAGTAAATTTTAATTTATTGGCTTTATCCTTTCTTCCTGCCTTTTTCTGTTGATGACACTGAATGAAAGAAGGTTCAACTCCGGTGCTCTGCACTGATCCTCCCTTCCTCACTTCCTTAGTGTGATGCTCAGTTCACGCTACATGATTTACATTTAAACTGATGCAAAAAAAGACAGTTTGCTGAAAGAACACAGCCAGACCAGTAGATGTATAAAAATACTCGTATTGGGTTTCTGGTTGAAGTGATTTCTGTGTTTCCGCAGATTGCCCATGACACACTGATCCAGTATGGAAGCACAGACCTCCAAGCACTTCTGCAGATAACAGGAGAAGGCGGAGCATGGAGCAACCCGATCCTGAACGCTCTGCTCACCGGCCAGAACACCAGCCCAGAGGACGGTTAGGCTCCGCCCCCTTTCTACCTTTACTTACCGCTAGAGCTGGGCGATTAATTAATTTAATTTTTGGTTTTTGAAGAGTTTATTTTTGGAAAATCTGTATTTTTTTCACCAATATTCTCCATTGGTTTTCATAGTTCAGTGATGTCGACATGATGAGGGCGGCCATCTTGTTTGACAAACGCATTTCTATTTATTCAGACTTTGGATTCAAATCAGAATATTTGGACTAAGGTTATAAAACAGTAATTTTAGGATAATAAAGTATTAATTTTACTAGAAATCCCAATGAAAAATTAAAATAACAAATCTTGAGCATCTTTGGTATAAGTTTTACAGATGATATTTGATCACTAACAAGGCTGAAACAATCGTGCAAACTATTTGGATAAAAACAACACACTGAGGTAGTCACTTCAGATCATAATTAAGCCTTTTTTCTTGTTAGTTTTTCTAAAAAATGTAAGACTTTTTTTCTAGTAAAATTGCTTTTTTCTGCTAATATTATGACTATATTCTCATAATTGCCAACAGCCATCACCATCTACAGTAATTCTGATGAATTTGAACTAATGTGAGTTACATTGATATTTAAGTTCCCTTTGGAATCAATAAAATATTTTTAAATTTGAATTTTGAATTGAATTTGAAATAATTAAACAAATTGGCTCTAATATTCTGTCGTGCAGCTCAGGGAAGGGATTATGGAAATAAAATCTACTTTTTGATATTTAATGTTTTCTGCCACCCAGGTCCACTTACTTTATCTTTTAGTCATGAATATTAACTCCTGCTTTGTGTTTGTAGTTAATGCGTACATTAGCCTGGAGGGCGAGGGCTTCATGGAGATGCGGGTGAAGCACCTGGAGAAGATGGGTGAGGTCGCCAAGGCCGGCGTGTTGGCCAAAGCCTGCACCGAATGCAGCCTTATTTCCAACCAGGGAATGTTCCGGCAGATTTACGTCTCCCAGCTGTGCCAGCTGCTGCCCAACGAAGAGGCCATCATGGAGGCAAGCTCCTCTTTATTTAATTTTATTCAACTTTTATTCTTTGCTTTCAATTCACTGTTAACCTATCAGAAGTTTCCAAAGCTATGACATCATCAACATCATTGTTTAGAGATGGTACAGTTCTGATTTTGAAGACATTGTTAAATAATTCTCTTACATTATTGTTTTGTTTAGCAAATCATTTCAACTCATCTAAAAAAGGAGAAGTTTGGTCTGATTTGACTTCAGACGGAGGCAGAAAAATGTCGTTTTATCCAATGTATGTAAATTTCTTTTTTTTTTTTTTTTTTTTTTTTTTTTTTTAGATTTTACGTATGCCTTTGAAATCCTTTCTTGCCTTATTACTTGATTTTTTTTATTAGCCCTTCTCTGCACCTCATTTTATTTTTATTTTTTCCAAAATACCAAAAACAAATGTAAAAGCAACCTTTTAGAGCCTAACATCATATTATGATGTTATTCCCTCATCAACAACAAACCTGGATTGTTGATGTGATTATTTGATGCCTGTTTGAGAAATCGTTTAATCTCCAAGGCAACCAGTCATGCGGAAAATGGCAGGGTGGACCTAGCTCCGCCTTCGAGGCACAGCTCCTCCTCAGAGCTGAAGTTTTAAGCTTCAGAGCAGCTCCTTCAGACTAGCCAGCAGCAATTGGCAAACATCTGCTGAGCTCATTATCGGAGCTGCTTCTCAGTGAAACGCTGCTATAAATGTTGTTGGAGGGTTAATGGAGGAGCCATGTTGTGATGACGTCCTGAAGGCGGAGTTTCAGAAAGACCAGGTTTATATTTTTTAAAAAGACAGAGACCAGATTTTAAGATGGTCTCTGTCTCTGGATTTTTGTTACTATTTTTGGAACTATGTGCTTGAAAATACGATACTGGCCATTTAAGGAAAACGTATTCAGCAGGTTTTTTTCACGTTTTCAAGGAGAGACTGTTCCAAAACACACCTAGATGAGACGTTTTGCTCTGCAAAAAGAAGTCTGTTGTTTTTCTGAGAGGAAATGGAGGAGAATTCATTGATTTCTACAGCTTACTGAGCTCCAAACCAGCAGAAAAATAAAAGTACTTTACATGAACTTCTGTTCTGATGGTCTGAAAAATAAAGTAACTGCACATGTAGCCTTTGTCTTACCGTTTTCTGGCCCTCCTGCAACAATAGTTATTTTTTGTCTTTGGTTCCTCACGTCTGAACGATACGCTGTTTACTTCTTCAGATTTCCCGGCTGGACTGTAAGGACGTGCTGGACATCACATCCAGTTTGGAGTCGGAGGGAGAGGAGAACACGGCCTTCATTCTCTGCACAACTTTCCTAACGCAGCAGCTGCAGCAGCAGAGTCTTTACTGCTCCTGGTGAGCCCACACGCCCGTCGCTAATGCAGCTAAAGTCTACAATCAGACGTTCTTTTTATATATGTCTCCATTCATGGAGCCAGACTTTATTTTTTTTAATCAGGAAACAATGTTAGACATAAACAGAGGTTTGTCTGGTTCAGGGATCTGCAATGCTTACAACCCAAAGAGCCATTTTTTCCTCTCGGTTTAGATAAATTAACTGGCTTAGAGTCGCAAATATCACATAATCTTTGGAAAAAAGACAACTTTTAATCTAACCAGTTTCAGTCTGCATCTTAACACTAACAAATTAAAAACCTTTTCATAAATTTCCGCCAATTAGAGATTTTATGGCCAGTTTTTATCACGGATTTTGTGAATGTGCGTGGCCTTTAGTCGGCTTTAGAACTCACTTTACTTTCCTATTTGAAAATGTTCTTTTGTTTCTTGATTGAAAGGGATTTGATATCGTTGTGGAGTAAGCTTCAGAGAAGACTTGACCCCTCGCTGACCTCTCTGCGAGAACGATGCCTTCAGCTTGGTGCCATTGCCAAAACGGTCCAACATCTGCTGTACCTGGTCCGTGTGATCCAGGCAGAGGTTCGTTCACCACTTAGCTGCAGCCCTACTCTGCATTTTAAAAAACAAATTATCTACAAATTTGTTAATTTTAACGTTTTTCTCTTTTTTTTCAGGCAGAGGAAATTGGAGTACTTTCCTCAGTGGGGCTTTGTGTCAAAGCCCTTCAACTTCCGAAGCAAGACGACTCAGAAACGAGAACATCCATATGCAGGATGGTGGCCTCCCTCCTTCCGAATGACCTGGAAGTTTTGCGTGCCTGCCAGCTGACGGAGTTCCTCCTTGGCACCAGCCAGGAAGCCTTCAATTGCCTGAAGGAGCTCTACATGCGGCCAGACCAAAAGTACGACCAGGAGGGCGAGGTTATCCCCAACTCGCTCCGCTGCGAGTTGCTGCTGGCGCTGAAAGCCGACTGGCCTTTTGATCCCGAGTTCTGGGACTGGAAAACTCTTAAAAACCACTGCATATCGCTGCTAGGGATTAGGCCGGAGTCAGAGGAGGAGGAAGAGGACGAGGAAGAGAAGGCCAAGCAGCAGGAGCCACAAGGACTTCAAATAAAAGTAGAACAGGAACCCCACAACAGGATAAATGGGGGTCTTGATGTGGATAAAAATCAGATCAATAACCACATGGGCATTAAGGGAGGGTGTGAGATGAAAAGGTCAAAGCTGCGGTGTCAGATTTGTAAGAGATCCATCACAGACATACAGATAATTCATCACTCCAAAAGACACTCAGACAAGAGCAATCACCCCTGCCCGGTGTGCTTGGAGGACTTCCGGAGCAGAAAGGACCTGATTCCCCACCTGAGGAGACACATCCTGAGCCACGAGCCTCCAGCTCAGCACAGCATAAAGACCGAAGACACACAGAAGCAACTGGATGAGGACGATGACGTCGAACCGGGCGAGATCACCGTTGACCCCTCGTTGATGCTGTACTACGAATCCACGCATGACCCGGACGTGTTGCATCATATCGTCGAACAGGCCAAGAACAAGGAGAAGCAGGAAGAGAGTGACGAGCACATCACCTTCGACTACATCGACAAACACTTCAAGCTGCAGAACCGCGAGGTGTATCCCTGCCCGGCAACCAAATGCACTCGTATCTTTAAACACTCCAAGTATCTATATGTCCACCTAAAATCGGAGCACAAGGGAGATGAAAATGTGAAATATTTCCACCAGATGCGAGACAAAAGGGAAAAATGCGTCTTCTGTAGACGCCACTTTGTCTCTGCTTACCATCACCGCAAACACAGGAAGGTTCACTACGGCGACCGACCTTACATGTGTGTGGTCCACGGCTGTGGCGCTCGTTTCGGGACGTCCAATGAACTCGTGATGCACAAGCACACTCACGGCTTTCAGCTGAACTACCAATGCGAGCTCAAGGGCTGCTACGTCACATACTCCGACCTGGGGCAGATCTACCACCACGAAGCGCAGCACTTCAGAGACGCTGCCTTTACCTGCAGTGGTGGTGAATGTAAAAAATACTTCTTATCCAAAAAGGACTTCCTAAAGCATCTATCCACACACAACATAACGTTCACCGAAAACGACTTTGAGGCGCAGAGAAGGGCTAAGCGGAAATTCTTCAAGGCTGTCCGTGAGGTGATGGTCCGCCCTGTGAAGCCTGCGGATGTGATGGATGTTATGAACGGCGATATTCTGAACTCTCAGTCGATAAGTTCTGGCTCCTCTTTGCAAGAACCCGAGTTCAGTGAGCCCAAGGCGATGATAACGCTGGTGGCTGTGTGCTTCGATGGAAGCAAGTTCACGTGCGGCTTTGAGAAGTGTGGAATGACCTTTACCAGAGCCAGAGACGTGCAGAGGCATCTAAAGTGTGCTCACCCGGAACATCTCAAGCTGGAAAACAGAGATCAAAAAAATGATAAGGAGGAGAACCCACCGATGCTCAAAGAGATCAAGATGGAAATGGAGCAAGAGATCGATGAGCATGGAGAACAAGAGCATTCTCCATTGTTGCCCGTTGAGTCAGGCAAAGAGAAGAATGTGTCCTTTGATACCACACCAAATGAAACAACTTCCTTAAGCCTTAACACAAAAACTGACGCTCTGAACGAAATCCTTATCGGGCTGAGCAATCTAACCCTTGACCCCTCGTCATCTCACAGTTCGCAAAACTCAGACTTTATATTGTCTCAGTCTTCTCTTCACCAGGCGATCATAGCGAAGCCTCCTGTCGTGTTGCTCAAGAAGAGACGCCATTTGCTGGAGCAGAGGGTAAAATCCGAAGCAGAGCAATCATCGGTAACGGCGGAGGAGGATGACTCGTTAGCTTCAGCCAAGCCATATCTTTGCGAAATCAAACGGTGTGGCTTTCGGACAGCAAGGAGCTACAGCTTGCTGCGACACTATATCTCCATACACAACCACTCGTCCGATGAGGCCAAGCTGATGACTTCCTCATTCAAGCCTTATAAATGCCAACTTTGCACCAAGAGTCACAGAGAGAAGAGAGTCCTGAAGGCCCACTATCTTCAAGCGCATAACATGTCTGAGGACTACTTTGAGAAACTCAGCTTTGAGCCTGTGCCGTTTGAAGGAAACAAAGGCTCTCCAACACCGAAGCACAGTGAGAAAGTTATAAAAGATGCTGAGGAGACGCTGCAGCTGAAGGCAAAGGAAGAGACCGGGACCAGTGAGAACGGAGAAAATGGCAGCAATCACTCCTCAATGGAAGAAGGAGAAGATGAATCAGAGAATAAAGATGAGCAGAAAGAGGAAAATGAGGAGGATAAAACACAGCAGATCCGAACAAGGCGTGTCGTGACCAAAAGCAACCTGTGTTACATGCTGGATAAACTCAGTAAACCGTTCCACTGTGTGGCCAAAAACTGCTATGCCTCTTTTTCCACTCAGGGAGGCCTCGTCCGCCACCTGCAGTTGGTGCATCACTACAACCGTTCCCAACTCCTTTTGGAGAAGGACGGGGATGCGCACGGCAGTCCTGAAGCTAGAAGGGAACCTGCAAAGAAAAGACCTCTCACAAACTCAGATGAACCTCAGCCCCAGTTCAAGTGTCACTTTGCCAAATGCTCTGCCTCGTATCACCTTAAAAGCAGTCTGGTGAGGCACACAAGAGATGTTCACTCCCGGCCTCCAGAGCTCATACGATGCAAATTCGATGGTTGCTCAAAGGTCTTCAGCCACAACGAAGACCTTAAGAAACACACTCTTTACAGCCACTTTGAGTACTATGACTCACTGGTGGTACGGCTGCAGAGCACGCACAAAGAGTCGGTTTCCGGCTGCCAAAAAAAGGTGATAGTTGCTCAAAGGAGTTCTCGTAAGGATGAAACTTCTGAACCCACCACTGAGAATTCAGAGTCCGAAGGGACGACTGAGTCGGACAAAAAGGACGACAGCATTGCTGATGGGAAAAAGGCGTCGAGTAAAAACGAGAAGCCAAGGAGAAACGCCTTTAGTGACTTTGTGTTGAGATCTCACGAGGAAGCACTACAGATGTGTCAGGACCGCTGTCTGCGCGTGGCGTACCCTTGCATGGTCCAAGACTGCGACTCGGTTGTCACCTACCTGCACAGCTTGCACCGCCACTACAGGGGGGTGCACCGCATGGAACAGGAAGATCTCTACAAACATGAAGACAAGCTTGTTTTCAACGCAGAGCAGCTGGAGGTTTTGATCCAAAGGAAGTCCGCCAGGCCCCCCATCATGGGAGAATTGTCACCTGCAGCGGTTCAGACAACGGAGGACAAAACTGAAGCGGAAAACGCAGAGGAGCAGCCTCCGCCTCAGAGTCCTCCTGCAGTCGAAACCAAAACGCAGGGAGAGGAAAGTCCTGAGCCTCTGGAAATATTACAGAAAAAACACGAGGAGGTTCCACCTGAGGTTGCAAATGAGGCACCTAAAGAGGAAGAGATCAAGGAACAACCTCTTGAGGAGGTGCTTGAAGTTACAAGATCAGACAGCGCTACAAAACAGGATGAAAGATCGATTCTAGACAAATTCAAACCACTGCTTCGTCCCGTCACTGTGGCTCTCTCGCCTCCGTGCTCGCTTCATGTTGCTTCTGAGACAGATGATAAAGTAACAAACACTACGCCACCACAAACACCGCCGGCGTCTCCATCATCATCACCGCCGCCCACTGCCCCCATCCGCCAGCCGCTGAAACGGAAAAACGAACTCTCTGACCAGCCTCTCGACATCCAAGAAACCAAGTCTAAAAGCCCCTCTCCAACCTCTTTTGACATCGGCACCTACAAGCCAATGGGCTTCGAGGAATCCTTCTTGAAGTTCATTCAAGACTCGACTCCGGCAGAGGAAGACGAACCGGCGAAACGCAGAGAGACTTTGAAACGGGGCTGCTCCTTGAAAGAGAACAACCAGTTGGGGATTTCTCACACCCGCAGCCGGCGCGCCCACTCCCCACTGGTGAAGCCCCACGCCATGACTGGAGACTTCACCTCAGTACAAAACTTGAAGTCCATCCTGGACAAAGCCCTGGCCGGGTGTGGGGACCTGGCCATCAAGCAGCTACAGTACCTCAGACCGGTGGTGGTCCTGGGAAGGCCTGTATCCAGCACCACTACGCCTGACCTCTTCCCATCAAAGACTAACAGCAAATTGCTTCTTGGAAGTTAGTTTCACTGAGCACCTTTTTTGTTAGTGGCAATGAAAAAGAACTTTTTTCTCCACACAAAAAATGTCAGTATTTTTATTTTATCCAAAACATTTTTTTCTAAGTTAACTGACCTTTTGTAGAAATTAGAATAGTAATAAAAAAAAACGAGCCCCAGACGTGCAGATCAGAAAAATCTGACAGTATTTTAGATTTATCAGTCAGATAACATCCAGTGTGTGAATTCAGTCACTAATGTATATTTACTCCAGCCCTCCCGGATACATGTATAGCTTTTCAGATTGTTAGAGATGATCAGTAGCAAAATGCCAAGCCTTTTCATTCTGGTGAAAATGTGACTGAAATGTTTCCCTACTACTTCAGTCCAGAGAAGTATGTTTGGTTATTTTTCACCTCCATTTATATAAAACCAGTATTGACAGCAGTTCTTGGACAACATGTATGTAATAATTTCTAATAAAAAAAATACATGTGGAAATAAATTTAGGGCATTTTGTAATCAATGAAATTTTAAGTTTGAAGGTTGTTGGATTCATTAAGTGCCAATAATAATTGCATTTCGTTCTGTTTCTGATTTGAAAAGAAGAAAAAAAACTTTGTACATTGATATCTGTAAAATATAGTGTCATGTTTTCAGTTGCATAATAGTATTTACATAGTCAGAAGGCTAGTAAAAGTAAGTAATGTATTAAAGTCACAGAAAATCCAAAGAAGAAATTATGCAGAATCATTTGCTACATCACTGTTCACGCACTTATCGAGATTATCTAAAATTATAGACAATATTTGATTTTTCTTTGATTCTGGGTGTGGTGCTCTTTCAGTTGGGAAAATGACAAAATGACGCCCCCTACAGGGTTACATTTTACAGTATCTCCATGCACAATTAGAGGTGGTATGATGGTTCAAATTGTATGTCAACGTTGCCCCCATATTGTGAGTGGCATTTCTTTGAAACATGCTAAAAGTTGTTTTGTTTCAAGAGATTTAAGTGTGTGAGTTAGAATCCACTCGGGTTTATTTTTAGAGCACATTTAATCAGCAATGCAGCTCAAAGTGCTTTAAAAAACAAAACAGAGAAGTAATGAAAAGTTATAATCTAGAACAATGAACCTATTTTTTATGTGTTATTAGCCATGATTTAAAGGGACTCAATGTTTCAGCACTTTTGCAGTTTTCTGGTAGTTTGTTCCAGATTGTAGGATAAAAACTGAACTCTGCTTCTCCATGTTTGGTTATTTAATGTATTAAGAATACATTAAAATAATGTTATTTAATGTATTAAAATACATTAAATACTTCAAAACTAAAGTATTTTGAAGTGTATTCTGATTTACAGGGAGCCAGTAGAAGAACGTTACAACTCAGCATTGTAGCTCTTAATCAGGAAGACATAACCTTGATTGTAACCACGTGGTTCCTCCAGGTGTCCTTAAACCCTCCACAAGTTGCAGCTCAATGAAAATACAATGAGCCTCATAAATGTGGCTGTTACTGCAAGAAGCAAAGTAAACATTAGTGCTTTAATCCTGGAAATGTTCTTTAGGTGATAAAATCCTGACTTTGTAATTATCTTTATGTGGCTCTGAAGGTTCAGGTCAGAGTTCATCTTTACACCCAGATTTCAGGCCTGATGAGCCAAAGTACAGCGATGGACGAACAATGACCCAGTAGAAGATGAGCAGCAGGTTGTACGTAGTTTATCTCTTCTTTTTACATGTTGATTCACAAATATTTTTGTCTTTAATGAGTGTTGGTCTATTAAACCGACACACCAAGTATACAACAGTTGAAATCAGGTGAGTTTGCCACTCGCAATATGGCGGATGAACTAGCATTGTTACTATTTTGTAGGTTTATTAAATTGGTTAATGCCATTTGTTTACAACTTATTGACTAATTTCGAACGATTTTAATCCCGTTTTTTAAAAAAGCCGTTAGTTTTCTTGCCAACCGCTAAAAGAAGAACAAAACAAGACGTTAGCTCAAAGAAACGACTTGGTTTTAATGAAGCAACTGCGCCTCCTGGTGTCAGAAATATCACCATCTCGGAATTCATTGCGCGGCGGAACTAACGTTAAACCCTTTTGATTGGGGACGGAAAACGTTGAAACACTTCACCGACGGGCGCTTTGGGAATCTTGCATGAATGGGAAAAACGGTGAATGTCGTAGTTTTGGGAATGAGAGCCGGATGTGTAGCTTTCGTGTTTTAGTCGGTGTCTGTCGGATTAACGCAGAGTCGTCTTGTTCTCCGCTGCGGGAAGTTTGAAGCGCGTGAAGCGGAAGCGCAGTAGCCATTAGCCCGATACCTGTCAAGTCAGTTAGAGGAGAAAAACCCAGAGAAAAGATGTTAAAAACTCTTTTTCTGCTGCCCGTTGAGACGCAGATATTTTATTCAGTCCTGGTATTCTCATGGACGGTTTATCTCTGGGAGGCATACCTGTCCTGCAGACAGGTGAGTAAATGTGTTTTTATCTTTCTGTATAGAATAAAAAACCTCAAAGATTAAACATAGCTCTAACTGTTGTAATATGAAATAAACGCAAATTAAAAGGTTAAATTAAAGGTGTGTTTTAAGGCATGTTTCATGTCTTTGTCATGCTATAGCAACAACATGTGATTTTTAGTATTGCGTGATTAGATAAACTCAAAGTTATGTATCATGAAATGGGGAACAAATGTACACAACGTTTTTCAAGTATATTTTAAATAAAACACCCAATAAGTTCTGCTCATTTATATATATATATGTGTGTGTGTGTTATTTTTGCTAAATATCTCAAGGAATATTACAGTATATGAGTCACACTTCTGATTTCTTTGAGTGTAAATAATGATAAAAAACAAAATAATCCCCCCAAAATATAACTTTCCAATGAGAGACTGAAGCTTGAGGTTTTTAATGTTACAAACAAAATGTGGATAAATTATTAATATTTATTTATTTTTATTTTTTCAAGAAAGTGTTTGAGGTTGGGATTACTAGATTTAATAAAGACATGCTCTAAAAATAATCAAATCAACACTTATTTTAATCCTGAGTTAGAAAATACAGTTTTTACAAGCTGTTACGGACTTCATAATTCATTGCTGTTCTGGCTTGCGCAACTATTTTTGTGGTAAATGTTAGTAAAGTTACGGTGAAACAGCATCTTAGGACATAGATAAAGACACGAGTCAAGTTCTCCTAAAACAAGAAAGTGAGATTAAAGTTAACATGTGTTACAATTTTACAAACCGAAAACGTTCCAGCATTTCCTTTCAGCTTTTTATGTCTTCAGTTTACAGAGCAGAGCGTATCAGATTTAACTACAAGATACTATGGATTACTGTTAAAAACAAAACAAAAACACTTGTCTGAGCATTAGATAGACATTTAAAACTTTAATTGTGTGAATAAATAGAAATTTATGGGTTTCTAACTCTATTTTTTGACCTTTTCCTGCCTGGCAGAGGAAAATATACCGGACAACCATTCATGTCCCAGAGGAGCTTGGAAAGATCATGGATCCTGACACCTTTGAGAAGTCGCGTCTGTATCAGCTGGATAAAAGCAACTTCAGCTTTTGGTCGGGGCTGTATTCAGAGATCGAAGGAACAGTAAGAAGAAAACCAGAGCGCTCATTTTACAGATATATTTACAATTAGCTGCTTTAACGCTGCAGGATGTAACTTTTATTTTAAATTTTGTTTTTACATATTTGTTTAAACTATCAAGTCGTGTCTGTTTGATATGAAGCAAAAAATCTGTGAAAATCTGAACTCCCCTACCTCACTCTCCATGTGGGGCAGCCACAAACGACGGTGGATTAATGGCTTTCCTGTAACTGTAAGTTGTTTCTCCACCATTTGCCCATTTAACAGCACTTGATTGACAGCACTAAGCCCCGCCTCCTGGCTCTGATTGGTGGTTTCTGGTTCGGCACAGGAAGGAGGTGGAAGAAGTTGATTTTTTTACAGATCAGATGTCTCATAATAAACTGTCACGACATGTTTAAATTTTTAAAAAAAAAGAAAAAAAAAAAAAAAAGCAAAACATTTTTATCTAAAAGTTAGATACTGCAGGTTTAATGTAGGGATGCACCAATCCACTTTTTTCACTTCTGATGTCGATATCTGAGGTTTAGATGCAGAAAAACAGATGAATTGATGTAAAATACTGCAAAAACATAAAATCTTACCAATTATTTTTGGCTTAGTTTCTATTGCAAATATCTCTGTACTTTTGAAATAAGACAAAACTAACTTTAAAGTAACTTTTCAGGAAAATAGGAACTTATTTTAAATCAGTAATTCCTTGATATTAATGATAAAGTACTAGTTAATTTGGTGGATTATTTCACTTATAAAATGCTAAAAATATCTTGTTATAAGTAGAATAATCTCCCAGTGGATTTAGTGCTTCTTGATCAATATTAAGGAATTAGTTGCTTAAAAAAAGCTGCTATCTTGCTGAAAAGATACTTTTGAGTTAGTTTTGTCTTATTTCTAGTGAACTGAGATGTTTTACTTGAAACTAAACTGAAAATATTTGGTGAGATTTAGTGTTTTTGCTGTGAATGTTCTTTTAAAATACAGATATAAATGTACTGAATTACAGAACAAATAAATACACCAACAGCTTCATAGTTTGGTCTAAAATGTAGATACAAAACAGATTTAATGTATTTTCTCATTTAGACTATAACAACTGATGTGAAATAAACAATAAACACGTAAAATTACACGGCAACAAACCTTTCAAACGGTTCACAAAGTGAGATTAGGAAGATAAATACTGTAGTCTAAAATAAATAATGAAGCATAGAATTAGACTGAATAGATCTGCATAGATCCAGAGTGTTTTTAACTACCAGGACTGATACAGATATTGATATGTGATCGGTGTTTAAGAAAACCTAACGTTTTGTTTATGGTCCTTTCAGCTGATCCTGCTGCTGGGCGGAATCCCGTTTCTGTGGCACTTCGCCGGTTCTGTGACGGCTCGGTTCGGGTTCGGCCCGGATTACGAGATCATCCAGTCGTTGGTGTTCCTGACTCTGGCCACGCTGTTCGGCGCCGTAACCGGACTTCCCTGGAGTTTGTACAGCACCTTTGTGATTGAGGAGAAACACGGCTTCAACCAGCAGGTTTCCTGCCTGAAAAACGATTTTTCCTCTCATTTCTAAAAGCTTTTTCTGGTAGATTTAATTTCTCTCCCTCTTTCCGCCCAGACGTTGGGCTTTTTCCTGAAGGACGCGGTGAAGAAGTTTGCAGTGACCCAGTGCATCCTGCTGCCGGTGAGCTCGCTGCTCCTGTACATCATAAAGATCGGAGGAGATTATTTCTTCATCTACGCTTGGCTCTTCACGCTGCTCGTCTCTCTGGTCAGTGAGGAGATCTTCCTCCATTTCCCTCTGTCGGTTTCTCTCGTTTTGATTTTAGGTGAAAAAAAAGTTTTTTAAATTTTATTGTAAGTACTATTTTTTTCTAGTTGAAATTATAAGAATAAAATTATATTATCACAATGAAGTCGCAATAGAACTAGAAAAGCATTTAATGAGAGCAAAACTTTGAAATTAAGTTACTAAAATCAGTTTGTGTTTCTTTCATTGTTTCAAATTCCTACTGGTAATAATTTGATGCTGATGTGTTAAGAGACAAAGTATTTCACTATTTTTTATAACTTTACAAGGTACTCATCGTTCCTCATTTTAATTTGTAGGTGTTATAATTAAATTATGATTTCATTCTACTAATACTACAACTTTATTTTTGAATATTTATGACTTTTTCCTCATATTTTTACGACTTTATTCTCATAATATTGACTCTTTGTAGTATGAATTTATTTGTTAGTCTGACTTTTTTGTATAAAATTTTATTCTCATGACGATTTGTTGTGTAACTTTGTTTTTGTATAATTACAATTTTTTGTATTATTGTGACTTTATTCTCATAATATTGGCTTTTTATCATACATATTTATTGTTGTTGCAACTTTTCTTGTATTATTTAAAGTTTTTCTTGTATTATTACAACTTTATTCTCATTTTCTTTAACTTACTGTCGTACGACTTTAATCTCATTATTACGACTTTATAAATTACTTTTTGTCATACAGTTTTATTCTCATGCTGTTACAACTTTTCTTGTATTATAATGATTTTATTCTCATAATATTTTGTCTTTATTCTTGTAATTGTTTTAAAATACACATACGTTTGTAGTTGTAACTTTACAAAATGTTTGACTACTTTCAGAAGGCTCTGTACATTATTTTAGTGTTTAAATGTTTCCTCAGTTGTTGCTGTATTTTCTGCTCCACTGATCCGCCTTTGCTCTGGTATTTGAAGGTTCTTGTGACCATTTATGCGGACTACATCGCTCCGCTGTTCGATAAATTCACCCCGCTGCCAGAGGGCGAGCTGAAGACAGCGATAGAGGACATGGCCAAGAGCATCAGCTTCCCTCTCACTAAACTCTACGTGGTTGAAGGTAGAAATGTTTAGATTGTGAGAAGTCTTAAACTCTGGGAGGAAACGCGTTCCCAGATGACTTTGTTTTCCGTCCGCCCAGGTTCGAAGCGTTCTTCGCACAGCAACGCGTATTTCTACGGCTTCTTCAAGAACAAGCGCATCGTGCTGTTTGACACGCTGCTGGAGGATTATTCCCCTCTGAACAGCGCCGGAGAGCCGCAGTCAGACACGCAGTCAGAGACGGAGTCGGACCCGGAAGAAACGTCCAGCGAGACGAAGCAAAAATCCAAGGTGGAAAAATCAACATTCAAATCCTCCTCACACAGGAAGTTATGAAAGTGGAAACATGACGGGATCATTTTAATTTTCTTCACAGAAGAAGCAAGGCTGCAACAACGCGGAGATCCTGGCGGTTCTGGGTCACGAGCTGGGCCACTGGAAGCTCGGTCACACCGTCAAGAACATCGTCATCAGCCAGGTGATCAAAACAAATCAGAAATGGATCAGTTTTTAATTCGCCATCACAATAATCAAACTTTCATTTAGCTGTTTTAAAGGTTTCATTTCTGTGAAAAGTCTTTCAAAACGCAGTTTTGTAACAAGTTCAATTAAATACTTAAATTTGGAAAATGTACATACACCAAATAAAAAATATGTTTGTTTTATCATTGTCTGAAGTTAAAGCTGAGTAAACTTTTTATTTGCTCAGTTCAAATTAGCAAAATTAATTATTTTTCCTAAATTCAAGAAAATTTAGCAAGAACATTTTTATTTAGAGATTTTTTAAATTTTCTTTGTATATTTACTTTGAGCAGGAAAGTAATTTGTTGTATTTATTATTCCTAATGGCTCAGTGACTTATTGATCTGTTTGATAGAAAAATTGGCTTATATTTTATACTTTAAGCGATGTCATTAAAGTTGGATGATTTTTTTTTTTGTGTTTTACTAGTGTTTTGTAACATTTCAAAACATAAAAGTTTTGCTTAAATTGTCCCTGCTGTGGTGCTGGAAAAGTTTGAGAAGTTATTTTAAATTTTCCTGTGCTAAATGTGTATGAACCCTGAATCAAACAGTGCTTACTGGAGCAGATATTAATTTTTTTTTTTTTTTTGTGTCTGCAGATGAATTCCTTCCTCTGCTTCTCCCTGTTTGCGGTTCTGATCGGGCGGACGGAGCTGTTTGTGGCTTTTGGATTCACTCAAAGTCAGCCTACATTAATTGGCTTGATGATTATCTTCCAGTTCATCTTCTCTCCTTACAACGAGGTAATTTGGGTCACCAAACTGTTTATTTCAAGTCGTTTTAAAGCTGAAAGTTACCTATTAATTAGTTAATTTAAAATTAGCTGCTTGAAGTGATCGCCTCCGTAGCAAATCGGTCATTTTTAAATGAAAAGTGGACGCCGCTCCGTCTTGCAGCTCGGCTGAATAAACGCTATTATTTTTAATGTTTTTGAGGAGTTTTGTCGAGAACAGAACCGCATAACATGCATTTTCCACTCCACACCGAGCTCCGTTTGGGCCGTTGTTGTTTCTGGGCGCCATCTTTGTAACTGTATCACTGGCGTTGCTTAAGGCGCCCTCTGCTGGCTGTCGGGCAAACTACAACACTAAAAGGAAATCTGAACGAACGGTATAACTTGTACGTTAATCGATGAGAAGTTGACTGCTTGAGCTCGCATGGATGACTGCTGTTAAAGTGAAATTTAAGGAGCTTGTCGAGTGTCTCTATTTCAAAACAAAACCGCATCAAGTGCATTTGAATCCCAAATCATTTTGAGTTAATCAGTTGGAACTAATATTAATCTTCTAAACTGTTAATCAACAGTTAAGTGTAAGTCGATTAATCCACCTCCTCCTGCTCTGTTTTGCAGCTGCTGTCTTTCTGTCTGACGGTTCTGAGCCGCCGGTTTGAGTTCCAGGCGGACGCCTTCGCTCGCGGCATGGGCAAAGCCTCAGAGCTGTACTCTGCCCTCATCAAGCTCAACATGGACAACCTGGGCTTCCCTGTGGCAGACTGGCTCTTCTCCATGTGGCACTACTCCCACCCGCCCCTGCTGGAGCGCCTCAGGGCGCTGGGGAACGTCAAGCAGGACTGACGCGGCCGGACGGGGGAGCGGCGGGCGCCGCCTCCTCCTGCAGGCCTCCGCAGACCCCTCCTTGCCCTGTGACGCTGCCTGGTCTTTTTTTCTTCCCACCTGTCCTCCAAACATTGAGTTTTACCTTATTTTAGCACTTCACTGTCCAAACATTCAGCGAAACCAAAACATATCAGCGAAAAGCGTTTTCTCAGTGCGGCTTGCTGTGAGGAATCATCTGGACAATGTTTGTTTAGAAAAAGATAGCCAGACTACAGTTTACAGATTGATTTGGCAGTTTGTTTTGTTTTCAACTTATTTATTAATTTCATTCTGTACATATTTTAAAAGGAAAAAATACATTTTAGGATTATTTTCCAGTATTAGGATGTCAAACTAGTGAGGAATTTCTTAGAATAGTTTATAAATTAGCTATTCCAGTTGTTTATTAAGTAGAAGAACATCTGTAATTATGGCGACGCTTTTTACAGATAAACAGGCCAGATTCTGATTCGTCCTGCAGCTGTTAGCCCTTGAACTGTCAATATCAAAACTATTTCATTTGTTGCTTTTAATGAACAATTTGATTCATTTTCATTTTCTTTAGAGGAGTAATCATCACAAACGTGAGTGCCTCTGAATGTCTTTCTGTTCTGATAGTGATGTGAAAGTTTTAGTTTCATTTTTTTTCTACATGAACTGATTAATTGTTTTTGTTTTTATTCTTATTTGCCTGCAGTCGAGGGTCCAACCAGCCCTGTACATAATGTCGTTGGTAGTGAATGTGGTTGGAAATTTTACGTTTAGTTTCTTCCCGTGTTACCTGGCAAGCAAAATGTAAAATATTTTTGGGGACGTTGGGAGGCGAAAACTTTCCTTCAGCACACAAGGCAGAGTTTGGTTTGCTCAAAAAGGGGATTGAAGCTTTCTTTGCTGTGTTGAATAAAATTCTGCAACGCATTCCATTTTCCCATCTGGTTCTGATCATAAAGTTATAACTCTGTTAATTTTAGACATAATTGAGAAAATAGCTGTTTAGATGTTTTAAAACAGTTTTAATCAAACCAAAAAATGAGGCAAAAATAAGTTTAAATGTATTTTAAAAATATTTTTATTTAATTCTGAATTACATTATAATTTTTTTTAATCACAAACTTTCTCCTTTCTTCTTATGAGACTTTATCTCATAAGTATGACAAATTATTCCATAAATAACAGATGAATTTTCAACTGAGATATTGTTGTAACAATGAATATTTATCCTCAATAATTTGTAATTTAATACCCTATTTTATGAGATATTCCCTCTCAAATTCTTTCAGAATTCAGTGTCATTCATTCATTCATTTCAGTAACTTAATTCACCAAGTGAAATAAATTATGTAGCTTAATTCTATACAAAGTGATGTTTTTAAATCAAATTTCTGTTAATTCTGACAATTTTTCATTCAGAGTGAATTCAAACATGTATAAAATAAAATGTATAAAAATGACCATTTCATGTTTAATATTCTTTCATAATATATTTTAAATATTTCTCCTTAAAACACTAAAGTATAGCACATTGGTATAACTACTATTAACAGCAGAAATGAAACCACAGTAAAATTAAAAAAAAAATAAATTAAAGCACAAATAAAAATAAAATCTTGTTTATAGCTAATTAAATTATGATATAATTTAGAAAAGTGTGATTGCAGGACCTGTTCTAATTTTTAAAAAAAGATTTACAAAAAAACATTTTTGCAATGTTTTTTGTAACACGGCATTTGTAAATGTAAAATTTGCCATTTAAGCAGAATATTATTTCTAAAATGTTAAACTTTTATTCCTTATTGAAATTTCATATTTGATCCATTTTCAGGAAAAAAAGAGTACGTTTGAAGATTTTACCTTGAAAGCGAAAATGACCCGTATCAACGTGGGGTCGACAGATACGTAAATTACGTAAGATGTTACGCTGGGGGACGTTCCTTTACGTAAGTAGAGCTATTTCACACTAAACTCCGTTTATTTCTACAAACTAAAGTTTTACAAAGACACCTCTCCAACGTTTTAATATGTTTTCGCCATTCGACATTAAAATGATTATTTTCTACAGATTTTAGACCAAAAGAGCAGGCGAACTCGCCCCTCTGTTTCGCTGCTAATGGTACGGTCCACTGGCTGGTTTCTGTGGACAAGGGCAAACCGTCAGTGTCAGCGTTGTTTTTGTGCCTGACGGTCAAACATGGCGAGGCTGTTGAGGTTAAACATCAGGAGTTTTGTCACATCCCAGCTGAGAATGTCCTCCGATCAGGTAATAAACGTCTTTTCCCTCCTGGCTGCTTTGAAAACCAGACCGCAACCCTGTCATTCAACAACATGTTTTTAGCTAACTAAAACCAAACATGATTGGAATAACATCGGTTTCAAATAGCTAGTAATGGTTTCTAGACTATTTTAGTGATTTGGGTGAAATGTGACTGGTTAAATCAAACCTGTAAAAGGTGTATTAATTACCAGCTGCGTCATAACAGAGGATGTGTGAATTGTTTTTGTCTATTGTGATCGTTTTTGCTCAGGTTACACAGTAACACAGTATCAGTATTTTATTCTTTTTGATTATTTCTAAACCTAATTTTGACCTTCGAAGTTGAGCTGACTCAGTTGTGTTATGTTACTGTATAATATTTTTTTAAATATTTTTTTTATTATTTAGATGCAGTCCTTCTATTTCTACGCGGACGTTTTTCACATAAAACCAGAAGTAAAAAAATAAAAACCCACAGCAAAACCTCATTTCCTGCATTTTCAAGTTTGAAAGCGGCAAACTTGAAACGTATCCTCTTTGTTTGGCTTTTCATAGTTAAGGTTATTTGAAACTGACTGAAGTTTGTGATATTAGTTGTATTTTTTTATATTTTTACTGCAGTTTCAGTTTTATTTTGTGTTTAATTAAAATTTTATTTCTTGTACTTAATTTACTTGTTGCTGTGATGACGGAAATCACAGACATCACTGAGCCACAGAGTGTCTTCAGTCAGAAGCTTCTTCAGAATTGCTGCAACAGAGACTGCTACAGAAGCGTCTACAACTCTGAAGGAAATTATGAGTTACAAACATTTTAATTTCCACCAGGGATTATTAAACTATTTTTATAGCATTTTGAAAAATTAAATTTAGATTAAAATATATTTAGTTAGTTTTTTATATATCTAAATTTGTGAATTTAGTTTTAAATCCTTATACGTATTTTAGCATGTATTAATTTGTTTAACTGGTATTTATTTAATATTTCAAGCCAGTGTTACTTCTATTAACTGTGCATTTCTGTTTCATGTCATTGTTTATAACTCTTTTTTTGTCCCATATATTTAAAAAACAGGCTTGTTTCATTTTTAACACTTAAATATTTTCATGTCAGTCAAAAATTACCTGACTAAATGCAAGATGAAGTTTTCAAATGATGATTTAAATTATTTATGGTGAATAAAAAGGAAGGAGCCATTCAAGCTGAATTAATTGGATTTTTTAAATAGATATTTTCACTTACTTCATGCTGTCAAACATGCTGTTTTCTACAGTTTAGACATTAATCAAACCTGGGTGTGTTAATTTCTGATTTACATGTAACAAAAAACTAAAATATAAAAAAATCTGTAATTTTTTTTATGTAACGTGATAAAAGCTTTTAACTTAATCAAGAGTTGCTAGAAAGTAGAATGTGTATTTGCTGACCTTTAAATTTGGATATTTATCACTTAAAACTCTAAAAATGCTCTTAAAACAGAAGATCAAAATACGCCAATAAAGCAAACGCCTTTTTAGGTCATATTTAAATTACTTATAATATTGCATTTTGTATATAATATGTTGTTTATGATTATATTTGTATTAATAATAAGCGATTTCCCCTCAGGACTCATTTCAGTCTTTTTCTTCTTTGAATCTTTGTCCCACCCTTTGCAGCTGGGTGAGCTGGGAAAAGGTGCGGGAAAAGGCGGAGGCGGCGGCGGCTCCATCAGGGAGGCGGGCGGCGCCATGGGGAAGAAGCAAGCTGCTGAGGAGGAAATGTATTTCAAGTACGTTTTTTTATTTATATATATTTAAACCAACAGTTGCTGTGTTTTGTTACAAAATATTTGTTATGAAAACTAACTCTGCTAATGCTCAGAAACCAGAAAACACAAATTCGCTATTGCGGTGATTTAGTTTAATAAGAGATGAAACTGAAATCACACGGGACTACGCTTGTTCACGCAATAATCCTAAAAATCATGGGAGCAACGGACGTAAACAGTTACATGAGACAATATTCACGATAGCGCTAATCATCTACGTATCATATGTCAAAGTCTTGTTATATGATAGATAACAAGACTTTATCTATCATATAACAAAGTCTTGTTATATGATAGATATAACAAGATTTATATCTTGTTATACATCTTGTTTCTGTTGCTTAAGGGAAACAGAAAAATCTGTTTCCCTTAAGCAAATTTGTTTTCATAATTTAAACTTCCCAATTTTATGATTAATGGAAACAGATTTTATTTTAATCTGGCCCAAAAATTATTTCATCTTAGTGCAAAACATTTTTTAGCAAAAGCAGTGAGATTATTTCCAAAACTGCCATGTTTCCATTGAGAAGATTTATTTTTGTAATTTAAATTTCCAGCATGTTATTTTAATATGGATGAGAAACCTCATGCTAGTCAAAAAACTTCTTTTTCAAAATTGGTTTGTTTTCTTTAAGTAGATTTATTTATGTAAATTCAGTTTGCACAATTTTATGGCTACTGGAAACACATCTAATGTGATGGATTAATGATTAAAAATCTAACATTTGCTTTTCTCCCTTCCTTTTTATTTTTTCTTGTGTTTGTCTGTGGAACGGCACAAAAGGCGGAAAGAGCAGGAGCAGCTGGCGGCCCTGAAGCAGCATCACCTGGAAGAAATCGATCACCACAAGAAGGAGATCGAACGCCTGCAGCGTGAGATTGATCGCCACAAGGGAAAGATCAGGAAGCTGAAGCATGACGACTAAGTGGAACAGTCCAAAAAATTACATTTATTTTCCTTTGCCTTTATTCATAACACCTGTTGCTGCATGCATTTACCAGGCAGGACATGAATGTGTGGAAGTTGCTGTTGACTGAAAGTTATTAAATCTCCTCATCTACTGATGTTTTGGTTGTTTGCTGTAGTAACAACATTGCAATTTCTGACTGAAGTTCATTCAACATTTTATGTTTCAGGTCACAAACTGTCATGAAGTACAGTTAAAACTGTGTTTGTCAACATGAGCTTTTTGCACCATTTAAATAAATAAAATTGTGCATTAAACTGCAAGTTTGAAACACTAAAAGCTGATTTTATTTGTTTTATTTCAACGTATTGGGACTCTGGGACTGCTCTGGTATACCAAGGTGGTTACAAATTAAAATCGACCAAACATTTAGATTCTTATTCTATGAAGAAAATGTATGTAAAATGCTTTCAATAGTTAATTTTAAGCAAAGTAATATTCCTGACTTAAACCAACGTTACCTAGAGATACTGGAAGACGATTACATAACCGCTGCAGTAACATGATACTTTTAACAGACAATGGACCTAAAATGTTTCCACTTAATAAAATACAGAATGTTAAAGCATAAAGTCTGACTTTAAAACGTCACAAAATAACTTCTCAAATTATGTGAAGATCTAAAAATATTTCTGTACAATGGCAATCAAAACTAAAAGAGAAAAGCAATGGCTGTCGTTTTCAAATTCTTAATATCACTGGCAGTTCTAGATTAAAATGAATCGTTTATTTTTGTCAACATGGTTTTCTCCCCGACTGGAGGCGATATTAATGTTTTACTGTCAAATTTCCAACCAGAAACAAATGTAAGTAACGTAAAACAACGTAGAAAATTGCATTTAAATCAAACTTAGCCTCCTCCATACATAGATGGCGCTATAGCAAGACG